TAAAAGTGAAAAAGAACGGGAGGCTAAAGATAAGACAGTGAGTGTGGTGGATTGGCTCAATCTGGCACTTTTGGAAATGTAGGGGCTAAAAGCTAAAAGGGGCTAAAGGGCTGTTAGCCTTAACCTCACTATTGATGCTAAAACACCAAGTGTATATAGATAATAAAAACAGATTTTTGCCTGGAAGCACTTACAAGCTATGCATGAGGAAGTCTGACGACTTTATCTACTGGACAAAAAAAATGTTATGACAAACCCTTATATGGCATAATCTTTAGAATAATATTTGATGGAGAATAACTTTGTGTTTAGTAAATGTGAATTTCATTTTAATTTTTGGATTAACAATAATGAATAGAATGATCTAATGTGATCCAGATTTGAATTAGCATGTTAAGTAAATGCAAAAATAAATAAATAAATAAATAACAAATGGTATTGTGAATATGGTCTAAACTACCTTTTAAAAGTTTGGGGTAATTTTTTATGTTTTTGAAAGTATCTTATCCTCACCAAGGCCGCATTTATTTGACAAAATATACACTAATATTATGAAATATTAAAATTTAAAATAGCCTATTATATTTTAAAATGTATTCTGATATGCTGATTTGCTGCTCAAGAAACATTTCTTACCAGTGTTGGAATGATCACTATTATCAATGTTAAAAACTGTTGTGCTGCTTCATGTTTTTGTGAAGTTTATTTTATGGATAGAAAGCTCAAAAGAACAGCATTTATTGGAAATATTAACATTTTTGTCACATTATAAATGTCTTTTAATTAATTTAATGCATGCTTTCTGAATAAAAGTACTTTCAGTAATTTTCTCAAGTAATTTCTTTAAAATAAATAAATAAATAAATAAAATAAAACAAAATCTTAATGAACCCAAACGTTTGAGTGGTAGTGTTTCTGACATCAGCCAAAATTGTTTACATTTTTTAATTTGTAATAACATGCTCTGATGAATTGTTCACAATAAGACCAGGAATGTGTGTTAAAAAGGTAAACAGAGACCATTTTGAATTTGTGTTGACTTTAAGCAATATTAAAAATGAATTTCTCTTTGCTGCTGGCCATCATTCAAAAGCCTTTATGCCCCCTTGAGTACAAACACACTTCCTATCAGCTATGACAGTGCATATCTCATGCTCTAAATGCCTCTGTGACTGAGGGTCTGAAAAATATCCATGTGGAGAGAACAAATGTCCACCAGTAGTTTTTTCTGCCTTTATGAGCTGCATTATTTCTCAGATGCACACATGTAAACACAGGCTGGCTGAATCAGAGCGCGGCGCTGCGAGACAGACCAGGGTCAGCGCAGTCTTTGTCTTCTGCCAGTGCTTACATTAGTCTGAAAGAGTCAAATATTCCCGCTCCAGTCTCCATTTATCCTGTATGAGGGCCGTGTGGACATATACCAGGGCCCCTGACGCTGGCAAGTATCCGAGTGGAGAGGGGCGGGGCCACAGTGCCAAAATCTACGCTGATGTTTATGTAATTTAAATCAGTTTAAATGTGAAGTGCTTTTCGTGATTGGTTGGTGTTGCTGCAGGCATACTGTATATTTAGTTAATGGGAAAAAAACTACGGAAGAGAAAATTACTCAATGTGGTTGATTTTGAAATTCAGCAGGCAAACACACACACACACACATACATGTTAAAGTTTGGGCTGGTAAGATTTTTTAAATGTTGATGAAAGTCGTCTCATAAGCTCACAAGGCTGCATTTAATTAAACAAAAATACAGTAAAAGCAGTAAAATTCTGAAATATCATTACTCCAGTCTTCAGTGTCACTCGATCCTTCAGAAATCATTCTAATATGTTGATTTGCTGCTCAAAAAACCTTTCCTATTATTAAATTGTTTTGTGGAATTTTTGTGGAAACTGACAAATTTTTTTTCAGGATTCTTTCATGAATAGAATTCGAAAAGAACAACAATCTGTAAGTCTTTACTGAAACTTTGAGAAATTTAATGTATAAAATAATTCATTTCCTAAAAATCCTAATAAATCCAATAAATTAATGAATTAATAATAATCTTACTGAAATCTTACACCCCCCCCCCCCCTTTCTGATGGTCTGATTTTTTAGCTTTAGACTATGAATCCATCCAGTCTGACGATATCAAACATTTGATATTTTGAGCCGATTTTAGATCACATTGTTTTCATTTGTTCATTTGTTTTCTCTTAATAACAAGGCACACATTTCTGCATGAGTTTGTTGTGAGCGGATGATCTTCAGTTGTTTTGTGTATGATGGCCAGGTTTTTTTTTTTTTTTTACAAAGTCGGTAAGTGTATGATACCTAGAATTTTTAAATCTGCTCAGATTTTAAAAATCATGTAGTGTATTCCAGTCTTTACAGAAATGAAGTTACACAACTTCCATTCCATACATTCCATAAAAACGGTTATGTTTGATATTAATGTTGATAAATGTTATGAATCAACTACCCAGAAATAAAAAAAAAAGAAATACGCTTCAATGAGACGATGGGCAAAAGATTTAAAATCTTGAATGTGATGCTGGGTAAAAAAAAGTGCCTTTGCTTACCAACATTCCACCTGCAAACAGCCAACGAACAGCCATATAAAATGATGCCACAAGTCACAATTCATCACACAAGCTTGTGATGGCTGCACACGTGGTAGGTGAATCAAATAAACATCAAATACATCAATGACCTACGAGCAAGAATTTTAGCCAAAATGCATCTTAGCTGAATAGCTTCGCCTCATTTTTTCCAGCTCTCTCCAGAGCACCTGCCAGTGTTGCTGCAGTTTTTAATAATAAACCCTGACATGCAGCCAAATGGCAGAATAAAACAGCAGCTTGCGTCCTGGAGGGAAGTCACAAGTTTAAAGACTTTGCAACCCGGCATTTTTCAAATTAACAAAGTGGGCTGGGAAGATATGAATATTCATGAGGCGTTATTCCCAAACCGCTCATCGTTTAAGTTCCCCCATGTGAGCACAAAGCCCAATCATCTGTCACGTCCCCCTTAATTCAATCATCAACCCTCATTCAATTATCCAATATAATATGCAAATCAACCCAAAAATGGCCAACAAATGCTAATTACCTACATCAAAATAATTAAATTGGACGGCGGCAGCGCAGAAGGATAGAAGCGCCATAAAAACAGAGGCCGTTTCTTTAATTAAGAGCAAAAATGTTTTCAATTAGAAGCCCATAAATTGCGAGGACTCTTGACCCCTCCCTTCCCCGTCCCCCAAGGGGACATTAAGACGTCGCGGACGAGGTTTCCACGTGATGCACGCATAACTAAAACCCGACCGAGTGTGGCGTACTCACACCTGCCATGCAGTCGGCGGCTTCCAGGTAAACGGAGCATGCAAAGAGTATCAGGGACTCCCACTTCTTCATGCCAGGCTGATCTGTGATCTGGACTGCCAGGTTAGTTCAGCACCATTCCCCCCTCCACCAGGGCCGAACAAAGAGCGGGCCAACTGCCAGGCAGCGGATAACAATGTCTGTTCCTGCTACACAGCGCAGAGCCAACAGAGGTGGCAAAGTTGCTGCATTATTCAACAGCCTCCTTTTGTTGCTATTGTGTTGGTTGTTTGTAAGGAGAAAAGTACACCTGCTCTTGATCTAATGATGACCAAACATTATACACACCTCAGTGACAGAGAGGAAAGGATATTTTACAGTGCTAAAATTATGCCTTGAGATACTGTATGAAGCACTATTTGCAAACTACTGTTTATTTACAAATATATAATTAACACTTTAATCCCATCAGTAACATTTGCTGAGATATATATATATATATATATAAACCTGAAATATTAACAACTATTTATATAGATATTTAAAAAATAAATAATAAAATGGTAAAACCACATCAAAACTAATAAAACTTTAAAATGAAAATGAAAATAAAATATAAAAGATAAGTAATTCACAGTAGTAATAAAAACTATAACTATCTCAAAGACAATAAAATAACACTGATCAACACATCTACAAATATGATACAAATGTGCAATTAGTTATTTTTTATTATTTACTTTTTTTTGCAGCAGCATTGCAATTCACAATTTTTTGTCACTATTAGATGTGTTACTTAAACTATCGTCCAATATAAAATGAACGTAACATTAAAACATTCGGTATCATATTCAATTCACAAAAAAAAAAAAAAAAAAAAGTTTTCAACAAAATATTAGCAATTATTAGCGTAAGTAAATTAAATGTGCTCACTTAGCTGTGAAAAATCTGTGATTAAATGGATTCACTACATGGTCCGTCAAAAAATATGTTTGTTTTGGATATACTATTATTGTCAGCAAGGTTTTTCAACATTTCTGAAAGCCTCTTATGCTCACCAAGGCTGCATTTATTTGATGAAAAAGACATAAAAAATTTAATATTGTGAAAAATATTTTTTATAATTTAAATGAACCGTTCTCTATTTTAATATATTTCAAAATTTAATTTATTCTTATGATTCAAAGCTGAATTTTCAGTATCAGCTTCAGTGTCACATGATTATTCAGAAATCATTCTAATATGCCGATTTGATCAAAGCTGCTTCATATGTCTGTGTACACGGACACATTTTTCAGGATTTTTGATGAATAGAAAAAGAATAGGATTTATTTAAAATTGAAATCTTTTGCAACATTTTAAATGTCTTTACCGACACTTTTTTAATTGAATACATCCTTGCTGATTAAAAGTATATGTTTGGTGTGGGTACATTTGGTAAGAATGCTTAATATGCTAAAAATGCATCAATATACAGTGGGTACGGAAAGTATTCAGACCCCCTTAAATTTTTCACTCTTTGTTATATTGCAGCCATTTGCTAAAATCATTTAAGTAAATTTTTTTTCCTCATTAATGTACACACAGCACCCCATATTGACAGAAAAACACAGAATTGTTGACATTTATCATGATACCATATGTATTCATGAAACAAACGTGTTGGCACACAGTAATAATGAAGGTAATCCCACCTGGTTGTCTGGGTGGTTGACAGTGAAGTAGCCGACGCAGATGATGAGCTCATGGAGCAGCTCCTCGGAGCTGTGTTGAGAGCAGTACCACAGCAGAGAACTCACAATGTGTCTGAAGGCCAGAGACAGACCCTCCGCTCCTAAAACACACTGGACACAACAGAAACCTACATCAGAGCCTGATCAGTGGTCGAGTCAGCGAATAGCACTTGGAAAAGAAGCATTTCTGTGCATTAGAAATGCAAAAAGCCATGGAAAAAAGTTGTGCAATACAGGGATTTAGACACTATTAAAGGAATACACAAAACGTATTAATCATTTACTGATGGCTCATGTCATTTCAAAAACGTATGACTTCGTTCTTCTTCACAACACAACAGAAGATTGGCTTTGGAGAACAACACCGGAGGCTGTTGATTTGATTTTATGGACAAAACCAGCTTTGGAACATCATGAGGGTGATCTTTTCTCAGCAGGAGACTTGGTGCAAGAGAAGAAGGTGAAACTTGCTGCTTGTGAAGCTCGAACTGGTTCTGGAATCAGTAGTCCCACATCAAGACCCCCCCAATTCCCTCAAACTAAATAGATGCTATCTGCTGGTCTAGCGACAGTATTTATTAAACATGTCAACATGACTGAACGCCTCAAGGTCAGCACTGAATCTACTGACATTTTCTGCTGGGTAGGAGAGTGTTATGGGATGGAGAGTCTAAACAACAACACCTGAAAATCTCAGCATATGTAATGGAAGCAAGACGCTGGATTTGTATCACCACCGACGGTCTGTTTGAATTGCCAGTGCGAACTCTGAGAATCGCTGCTGTTAGGATGTAGAATGAAGAATAATTTACATGTGAATGCTTTTGAAGCAGTATCTACTACAATATTAAAACAAATATATGAGGGTCTGATCAAAACTCTGATCAACATGAAAAATTGCAAGACTTCAGATTTTTTTAGTACCACTACTGAATATTTACTATTGAAAGGCCAGCAAATTATGTAAATATTAAATTGTGAATAAATGTAATTTTAGTTAACACTATGTTCAAAGTACTGTGTAATTATAGTGGTCAGTTTGTAAGGATGAGATTCATATGTTGGACAGAGGTAGAGCAGATGAATGCAGCAGAGCTCTTTGCTTGTCTCACAAAAACAAATCAAAACAAACCAAACCAACACACACACACACACAAAAACAACAAAACAAAAAACACAAAACAGAACAAAAACAATCCAAACCAAAACCAAAACCAAAAAACACCAAAACAAAACAAAATCAACCCAAATCAAACTTTACATTTTGGAAACCAAAATAAAAAAAGTAACAGTGTTAAACATGATTAATCATATGCATTAACACTTTGACAGCCTTAATTGAAATTTTTAATTTTGGAGTTCTCTGAATGCACCACCCAAGGTCAAAGACCAGTGTGCCACACGGTGACCTATATAATACGAAAATACTGGATGATCCTCAATTATCAAAAAAGCTGACGAGAGCTGGCACGAGAAACTGAAAAAGTGTGAGAGACCCAGAGTATCTACAGCAACACACTAAAGTAATTCATAGGTTTTCCGCCCTCCTCGTTCACGCCTAGGTGTTTACATGATTTAGCTTAGCGATACCCTTCTTGTCTCTTTATCATGCCGGCTGAAGTACGACCGGAGCCTGTGCATGTTACGCCACTCTCCGTCCGCATTATTCACCCGGAGCTTTCAACATGACTGGCCCGGGGTCAAAGGTCAGGTGTGTTTACATCCACTGGGTTAACTTTGTTCTGTGAAGATACACTGATATCCTACCAGTGGCTATGAGGGCATTTGGAGGAAACCCTGGCTGGACCATTAGCTTTGAGGCTTATGTCTTTACAGTCCCTGTTTGTGTGCGCAGACGTACCAACGCAATCATTAATGAGAGCCCAAGAGCTTTTTATCGCTTTCACCGTTCAGAACGTCTGTCTGAATAATGGGGTCCACATATCTGCCGCTAGCTAAAGGCCAACCCAGTGGTCTGACTGCTGCGTTTAGAAAAAAAACAAGCCGTGCCGCATTACTTTAAGCAGACAGGGTGGCTTCAGAGAGTTGAACTACTCTAACAGGATGGACAGCATACCACAAAGGAGATGGTCACATACAAGCATCCTTCTGCAGGACTTTGAATCAAAGAAGCAGGATCTCACAGACTGTAAACAGGACCAGAGCAGTAAGGTTATCCATCACGTGAGGCGTAGCTCACCAGAAGGCCGTGGTACTTTTCAGAAGGTAAACGTGGTCTTGTGTACTCTATAAAACACACAGCCAGATACTTTTTTCTAAGTGTGCTCAAGCCAGACCCTAAAAACCTAGAAATTTAGTGTGCTAACTAATTAAATGAATATTTGACCTGAAGATTTGTCAATGATATTAATTTCATTTTTCAACCATATACCATTTGACACATCTATATACATACAGGAGCCACATCGCAAATTAATACCTGGAAGGCTGAGAGGTCCAGCAGGGCGAAGGTGTTGAGGAAGCGCAGCCCCTGGAGGGCCACCTGGATGACGGTGGGGCTGTAAGGCTCCTGGGGGCCCACGGAGCCGGCTGAGAGAGAGTCAACAAAACAAAAAACACAAAACAGAACAAAAACAATCCAAACCAAAACCAAAACCAAAAAACACCAAAACAAAACAAAATCAACCCAAATCAAACTTTACATTTTGGAAACCAAAATAAAAAAAGTAACAGTGTTAAACATGATTAATCATATGCATTAACACTTTGACAGCCTTAATTGAAATTTTTAATTTTGGAGTTCTCTGAATGCACCACCCAAGGTCAAAGACCAGTGTGCCACACGGTGACCTATATAATACGAAAATACTGGATGATCCTCAATTATCAAAAAAGCTGACGAGAGCTGGCACGAGAAACTGAAAAAGTGTGAGAGACCCAGAGTATCTACAGCAACACACTAAAGTAATTCATAGGTTTTCCGCCCTCCTCGTTCACGCCTAGGTGTTTACATGATTTAGCTTAGCGATACCCTTCTTGTCTCTTTATCATGCCGGCTGAAGTACGACCGGAGCCTGTGCATGTTACGCCACTCTCCGTCCGCATTATTCACCCGGAGCTTTCAACATGACTGGCCCGGGGTCAAAGGTCAGGTGTGTTTACATCCACTGGGTTAACTTTGTTCTGTGAAGATACACTGATATCCTACCAGTGGCTATGAGGGCATTTGGAGGAAACCCTGGCTGGACCATTAGCTTTGAGGCTTATGTCTTTACAGTCCCTGTTTGTGTGCGCAGACGTACCAACGCAATCATTAATGAGAGCCCAAGAGCTTTTTATCGCTTTCACCGTTCAGAACGTCTGTCTGAATAATGGGGTCCACATATCTGCCGCTAGCTAAAGGCCAACCCAGTGGTCTGACTGCTGCGTTTAGAAAAAAAACAAGCCGTGCCGCATTACTTTAAGCAGACAGGGTGGCTTCAGAGAGTTGAACTACTCTAACAGGATGGACAGCATACCACAAAGGAGATGGTCACATACAAGCATCCTTCTGCAGGACTTTGAATCAAAGAAGCAGGATCTCACAGACTGTAAACAGGACCAGAGCAGTAAGGTTATCCATCACGTGAGGCGTAGCTCACCAGAAGGCCGTGGTACTTTTCAGAAGGTAAACGTGGTCTTGTGTACTCTATAAAACACACAGCCAGATACTTTTTTCTAAGTGTGCTCAAGCCAGACCCTAAAAACCTAGAAATTTAGTGTGCTAACTAATTAAATGAATATTTGACCTGAAGATTTGTCAATGATATTAATTTCATTTTTCAACCATATACCATTTGACACATCTATATACATACAGGAGCCACATCGCAAATTAATACCTGGAAGGCTGAGAGGTCCAGCAGGGCGAAGGTGTTGAGGAAGCGCAGCCCCTGGAGGGCCACCTGGATGACGGTGGGGCTGTAAGGCTCCTGGGGGCCCACGGAGCCGGCTGAGAGAGAGTCGGGGGGGGCACTGTGGAGCAGGATGCAGTACAGCATGTGAAGGACGCCCACCAGGTCGGTGCTCTGCAGGAGGGCCGTCAAACTGGTGGGGTCCTGACGTTTGTTGTCAAAGATGCTCAGGGAACTGAGAATGAGAAATATGGTTATTATGCAATTTCCACTTTTTACAGGGTGTTTACAGATATGAACAAGTTAAATTTAAGACTTTTAAAGACCTTTTTAATACCACCTTATATGAAATTTAAGACCAAACCTGTGATGGAAAAACACAGTTACACATGTAATATTTAATGTGTTTAATATGAAGATAAAACAAAATATCATCACTGTCAAAAATGCTATTTATTATTACGATATACAGTGAACTTTTCATATCAGCAGACAATATCCTATACAAAATATTCCCACTAAATCACAGCATCACCAAGATTTTTGGTGGTGTAAACGATTTATTCAGAAGCAATATTTTCATCAGTGTTCTATCAGCTTTTATATAATTAAATCTGCATGTTTTTATTATTTACCCCAGAATGTTATTTACCTTAATAAAGGCCATTATTTTTTAATTTTATTAAATGTATGTATCATCTTTCATGTCAGATTCTTTCAATTGATCAAGAAATTCAATATACACTATAGGGCTGTTACCAATCAAATTAAATAATTTACACTGCAAAATTACAACTGCAGTAAATAATGTTATGAGATTAATGTTTTAAATAAAATTTAAAATATACAAATAAGAAATGTTGGGGAAAAATGCATACTTGGTGGCAGTAAGTCACTTATTCACTCAACCGATTCCTTCATAACACTTTATCATTCAGTAACAAAACTGCCGAGTGTTGCTTGGAGAATGTGCAATACTTCTGTTTCGATCTTTGTTTGAAACTATTTTCATTGGTGAAATAGAACAAAACAGTCAAAAGTAACTTAATATTACTAAACTACTTATTTGTTGAACTAATATCAATGTAACATTTACAATTGTGAAAATATTCAGCAAAACAGACCCTTGCCATTGTATGTTACTTAATATCCTTGCCATTGTACGTTACATGATATGTTACCTATATAATGTTATAAATAAACTAAACATTTTGAATTTTTTTTGACGTCCTGATCCAGGGAGGGTCTGTGTTTTACCAAATACCTTCCACTTCTTAATAATAGACTTCACTGTGCATCTAGGCATTGATAAAGCCTTTGACATTTTTTTTGTCTGACTTGTGTCTGTCCACAACTTTATCCCGGAGATCTTTTGTCAGTGTCTTGCCACCCATAGCTGATTGGTAGTGCAACTGAAGCACTAGGAAGGACTGAAATGCTCCATAAAAGCTCTTTTCATGCTGAGCTGATCAAAATGACCACAGCTGAAAGTCAAATGGCTTTGTGTGCCATTAAAGAAGGTGATTAGCTACAACTGATTGAGTTTACAAATCATTTTTAGGAGGGGGTGATTCTTTTTCCAACTCAGTGATTAAGTTTATTTATTTATTTTGTTCTGACATGTTGGTGTTTTATCTTTAAGTTGCACTGAGTAAATACAGCTTGATAAAACAAAAACTGTCCGTCTTCACTTCAGGCTGCAAAGCAACAAAATGTGATTTTTCTATACCCACTGTATTATTATTATTATTATTATTATTATAATTATTATTACCTATTTAACTCATGCTGCCAAAAATACAAAACAACAACAACTATTATTTTTACTACTACTATTATTATTATTATTATTACAGAACCAATTTTATTTATTTTATCATTCTGATATAATAATAATAATTATTATTATTATTAAAATCAATTTAACCCATGCTGACAAAATTACAACAATAATAATAATAATGAACAAATACCACTACTATAACAACAACAACAA